GCCGGGCGCTGAGGCGCCCGCTGGCCGAGCTGGTGCTGGGGGTGCCAAGAGAGAAAGAGAGCCACAGAGCCGCTTCCCTGGAAGAGGTGGTGGCGGCAGCTGCTGTTGGCGGCGCTGTTGGAGGTGCTCTTCGAGGACAGGCCAGGAGCGAGCTCTGCTCTCAGGCATCACTCGGTGGCAGCTTGGGCACTTGGCAGACAGGCGGGCTGGCTAGCAGGCTGCAGTTCCGGATGGAGGATGCAAGAGGCGCTGTCTTGGGAGAGAGCTGGCAAGTGAGGCTAGGCTTTTTTAAAAACTATTAACGGCAGAGGACGTGTGGGCGCTTCGGGGAGGGGTAGACAAAGTGGGGGCCACAAATGGCTTCTGGGCCGCACGTTTGAGACCCCTGGCCTACAGAATAGGGATGGGCACATACCTTATTTCAAACGTTTGGCTGTAGAACTCCCCTGCCCCACCTCCTTGTCTGAGTGCGCAGCTGCTGGAGGAGGAGGAGGTAAGCATGAGCTCCTGTGGCAACTGGAAAATTGAAAGAACAGCAGGAGAGCAGTGCATGCCAGCTGGTGGGTGGGTGAGCCAGCTGAGGGGGAAGGGAATGCACAGCACCTGTGCTGCCATGATGATGAACTAGCACGAACCTCTGAACCAAGGTTCATGCCCATCTCTGTTGAAGAAGTCTTATGTCCAATTGCAGTCTGTCATTTTTGAAAGGAGTTTTGCTATCTTCTTTAGTATGCCATCTGTTTTGTTGATAAGTGGTAATAAACGTTGTCATGGCAAAGGAGAAGCAGAGTGGTAGATGCTTGTGGGAAGCCTGCGGAAGGGATCTTGCTTTTTCAGTGAATGTTATACTTCCCATTGAAGTGTTTTTCTAACCACAGTGGTGGTAATGGCTCAGGGAGTTGGAGTGCATGGCTTTATAGTCAGAGACTAAGAATTGAATCCCCACTGTGCCTACTTGGAGAGGGGCCAGCTGAGATCATTTGGAACATGTGTGGCTATTGGGAGTACGTGCCCTGCGACCTAGGTGGCCTTGGGCATGCTGCACAGTGTCACTGGAAGGAAGGGAATGACAAATATCTGACTGCTTTATATCTATATAATCTTGGGATAGTTTTCACTGTTCAGAATAGACCACACATTATGTCAGCGTTTCTTAACGCAAATCGCGGTTTTAGCAGAGTAATTCGCGGTCCAGGCAGTCCAGAAGTAACTCACACGCAGTCCAGCAGCATTTCCGTCAGCAACATGAATTTACAGCAGTATTAACATCAGTCTGGCAGCATAACATGTAGAAGTGATCTTCAAGCAGGAAGAAGATACAACTGACTGTACAATTCACACATACAGGTATATACATATACAGGACCAATCAGATGACACATTGCATCATCCATGAGTTGCATCATCCATGAGTTGCATCAGGTCTGCTGAGTCGTCCTGACTCAGCTTTAACACACCTGATCATTATGGATTCTCATTAATACACTCCATTCTGCTCAGGCCTGTAATTTTCCTTGACACATTATTATTAGTTTCTACCTATAGTGATGTTTCTGTGTTTGTAAAGAAATGAAGAAGAAAATCTTTGGGTGGAAGAAGTCAGAACAGTGCCTTATATTTGATTGCAAACTGCCATTGAGGAATGTCCCTGAAGAAAGGTTTATTTTGAAAAGCATTACACCTAAAAGTTTTTTCATGTACAGTATCTGGACGTTTTTGCCTCCTTTAAGCTGTAAGTGATTCTTCCCACATGTCTGTTTCCTACCGTATGTCTCTGCAACTATATAATAAACCTGCCAAAGAAATGCAGAATGGAAGGGCCATAAAGTAAGTGGTTCCCACCTTTGGTGGGTTGTCCTTCATGCTGCTGATCACAGAGAATCAGATGTACTACCACATGGAAGTACATATGATTCCAAAAAATACTTGTAAGCTATCTGCCTGTTTCACTGATCACTGGTCTCTCATCACTTTTCAGTTGCTGGTCATTGGTAACTGGTAGGCACATGTGGGCCCATAACTTCTTGCAGGGGCAGGGTGTGTAAGGGACTGAGTATTTCACTTGACGACGATTTCGCTCTACAGCGATTTCGCTGGAAGGGATTAACGTCGTCAAGCGAGGCACCACTGTACTGCCAATTATTCAAAGGACAGCCTGCCACGGAGACCACTTCTGTGTTTGCCCCTGCACATCTGTTGTCCCCTGCCAAATAGTCTTAACTTTTTTCTTTTTGAGTTGACCATTCTTATTTGAATATATTTCTGATATCTTCTTGAATTTGCTGAATCGTTGAACAAACAGGAAATGACACAAAAATCTGACTAGTTTTTGATTTCAGGCCAAAATCCCAGTGCTTGGGGTTCAATTTTATGTGACTTTTTGAAACATGTTTTCTGTTGTCAGTATTTAATTGTTTGTCAAATAGTGCTGGTATTCTAGAAACATATTGAAAATGTGTTTCTTATGGCATATGCGTAAAAGCAGAATAAGATAATCGTCACTTTAAAAGGATAGTTAAATGGAATCCTTTTGTGAAATAAGACAGTCTCTGAAGATTCTTCTACTTGTGATGAAAAAGGAAGCTCAGTAGTTCTTAGACAGTTTGGGTTCTGTGGAGGAATCTTGGTGAGTTAGCACTGAAGAAATCTTGATTAATATCTTAATAGTATAATGATTAGTATATTTATTATTAAAAGCAGATTTGATTGCTACTTGAAAGGCAGTATCAGGTTTCCTGATGAACTAAGACATTTCTCTGCACCAGATACCTCTAAGCCACAGTTTGAGGGTAGTATCTCACCTTGGGTGGATGTTGGTGCATCTTCATTGATCTGGTTTACAAGTCAGTGTCGACGAGAACAGATCTTCCACTATGATCTACAAACATTCATATATTACATTATTCTGGTGTGATCTAAATCTTCCAACTGTATATATATCACAAGTTTAATTCTTCTTGAGGCAGTTATTTACTGTAAATTAATGTGGTGCAAATATAACTGTACAGTACTGTACTATGAAAGAGAAGTATAAGCAGTATAGACCTTCATTGAGTGAGAAATGAAAAAGTCCTTAGCTATAGAGGTTTGCTAGATTTCTTGTTGCCTGTAGACTGGAAAATATAATAATGGCAGTGCAGTGAGAATATGCAAAATTTTTAAATGACTAATCTCTTTTGATATATTGATCAATAGAAATTTGAAACTCTTAAAACAAGAGTCATGGAAGAAGAATTATATAGCCGAGGATCTGAGGGTGAAGTAAGTAAAAAGAATATTGAAAATGTTTGCTAAGGTAGTGGAAGACAGATATTAAACCTAAATTTGAGTCAAGATTATTAGTAGCAAGCTATATTCAGTTAAAAAACTGTCATATATAATAATAATATGGTCTGCATAAATTTGATTTCTGCTACATTGTTTGAAATGGCCTGTTAGAGAATTTCCTTCACGAAAGTAACAGTCTTTTCAGTATAGGTATTGGATGATTATTTTCTGTTAGGCATTACTAACTGTGCCCACTGAATTTCACTAATGTACAGTACATTTTCTTTTTTTAAAAAATACAGTACATTGCATCACTGGTCGATTTATATATGTATCATGTTGTTTTCAATGATGTTAGATCGGACCATCATTCTAACTTTTTATTTTTGCTCTAGCTAGATTAGTTTACTGCCATAACTATTATAATTAATAATAATAGTTGTATACCATCAAGTCAATTCTGACTAAAATGATAGTCTAAAGTGGTTCTTGGCCCTTCAAATGCTTTGAATGTAAGCTCCAGAATCCCTTACTATTGACCATGCTTTTGGGGGCGTCTGGAACTTGAAATCAAAAACAACTGAGAATTAGTCTTGTAAGAACCCTAATTTGGTAGCTGCAAGCAACACTTCTGGTATAGTATAGTTAGTCCTATTTAGAGTAATATTCATTGTAAGTGTAAGAACTGTACATTGATTTGCTGAAATTTCAGATCAGCAAAATTAATGGACGATATTAGTACTAGAGATGGGAATTTCATGATAACAAAATCTTTAACAATTTAAATTTCTTCATTGTCAAGTTTAAAGCTTGTAGTTCTTCAGTAGTTATATTTGTCTTCTTAATGTTCAACTGTAATCCTCCTTTTGTGTTTTCTTTCACTTTCATCAGAAGTAGTTTCATGTCATTGTTGTTTCCTGCCAGTAATATGATGTCATCTGCATATCTTAAATTATTGGTATGTCTTCAGCTTGTTTACAGAATGGTGTAAGAGTTAAAGAATTAAATATACATGAGCATTCTGGAAGCTTAGCAGAGCTAATCAAAATCTTTAACTTGATTAACCCTTTGTGGTCCTAATTTTACTCAGAGTATTTCCTTTTACCTCAGCTCTTCCTCATGGATACCTGAAGAGCCCCTACAGCACTCTAATAGGTTAAAAATATTAATTCTGCAGCATGCTTTAAGCAGAGAATGCATAATACTTTACGATTCAGAGCACAGAATGTTTCTGTGTACAGTAGTTGAAGTAGCAGGGTTGTGAAAATATACACAATTCCTTTTCATTGTTTTTTTTAAAAAATATGCCAAGGCAGCAGTTGATCAAGGGCACAACTGCTGTCAGTCAGTGCAAAAACAAATAAACTAATGGAAGGTAGGGGGTTTTCACAGATCTCCCTATATCAGAGGTCACCAACCCCGGTCCGTGGCCCAGTGCTGGTCCATGGCCTGAGCCAGACTGGGCCGTGGAGACAGAACCCCAGCCCCCCGCATGCACTCTCCCATGCACAGCTAATTTGTGCATGCATGCACGCTCCAACGCGCCTGTGCAAGCGCTACTCCACCACTTGTGCATGTGCGCATGTGCTCATTTGTACATGCGCACAAGCGTGTGGAGTGCCCTGCCTTCCCCAGCCTGTCCGCAGGGTGAAAAAGGTTGGGGACCCCTGCCCTATATCTCTTAAAATAGCAGGTTCCATATAGAAATTTGAAGATCATGTGCCCTGCAAAAGATTTCTAGGATCTACTCATGACTTGAAATATTTAGTCTTAAATACTTGATGAGACAGTTAACAGAAGTGTGTGATGATGGAGAATCTCAGATAAAGTGATTCTTCTTGGCATACAATATGTGGAAAATATTGTGTAAGGAAAAATATTGTAACACCTTTTAAAGTTCAGCATTTTGCCAAAAGATGGTGCTATTAGAACTTCTGAAACTCCACATGATCTGTTCAGATAAGCTATTGTGTGTTGATGTTTGTATACAACTGTCTGTATTTTTGTGTATACTACTCAGAGGAGTGTATGGTAGTTAGAATCACTATGTTAATTTTTAAACTGTGTTAAATTAGTGACATTAAGTTGTAAAAAGACAAAACATGATATATTCACATCACATTAATCTCCTTTGAACAGTGGTGAAATTTAGGAATGAGTGTATTGATAGAATCCTCACTACATAAAAATTCCAAGCTTCTTATTTCTAATGCCTGAGTTCTTCTTCAAAACCGATCTGCTGTAATAATCCAGCAGTTGTTTGGAAACAGAATTTCCTCTGTTTGGCAAAATTAAAGAATGCTCAATGGATAGCAATCCCATTGTAGACATAAATGAGACTCCGTTACGTGATGCAGTTTACACAGACAGAAATAAATTCCATCCACCTACTTTGTCAGAGACCAAATGCTCCCTACTGTTGCATGCATACAATCCCATCGTGTTGTCATTATCAGAAATAGGCCTTAAACACCTAATATTTGCATTCATAACTTACTATAAGAACAAACTGTTGTCTAAAAATTTTAGTAATCAAAAATCATTGTCCTTTATTGGTGTGTAGTATTTAAATGTGGACATTAAGCGGTTAGTGTACTGGTCAAGTCAAATGGTGTAAGTGTGTAGGCATTAGGTTTGATCACAGTATCTCCTGGGCTGCCCATAAACTGTCTAGAGCAGTGGTCAGGCAAGAGGGGTAAATTACCCCAAATGGGGTAAAAATGAAAATCCTGGGGGTAATGAGGATGAGCAGAGCCCCAGTATTGATGCTCTCATATCCAAGATGAAGCAACATCATTTCTCCAAAATCTGAAGTTTTCAAGTAAGTTGAAGCTTTCAAAGTAATTTTGAATAGATTCAATAAGATTTTCAATTCAAATAATGTATGATTTCCTTCCTTTCAAATCAAGGGGGTAAAGTCGGTGTATATAATTTTTTTGGGAGGGGGCTAAAAGGTAAAAACGTTCCCTGATCCCTGGTCTAGAGTATAGGCTGCTCAGAACACCATTAAGGCCGTTTCTCACAATTTCTTTACTGGGGGAAGATAAGGTTATCACTAGCTACTTGTCACAGCGGCTGTATATAACTCCCAAGATGATAGGGTATATTCAGCTGAATATCAGTTACTGTGGAATAACAGTAGGAGATTTTCCTGTTGTCCTGCTTATTCTCATAGTGAGAAGATGATAGGGAAGGCAAAGAAAGTCTTTGAGGAACATATGGCCAGCAATATAAAGGGGAATAATAAAAGTTTCTTTAAATATGTTAGAAGCAAGAAACCTGCCAGAGTTGTGGCTGGCCCTCTGGATGGTGAGGGAGGGAAAGGGGAGGTAGAGGGGGACTTGGAGATTGCATAGAAATTAAATGAATTCTTCACATCTGCCTTCACAACAGAAGACCTTGGGGAGATTCCGCTGCCCAAACAGCTCCTCCTGACCAGTGAATTAAATCAAATACATGTTAAAAGAGAGGTTGCTTTAGACCGAAGTGAAAAATTGAAGACCAGTAAGTCACTGGGCCCAGATGGCATCCACCCAGGGGTTATTAAGGAACTGAGGAATGAAGTTGCTGATATCTTAACTAAAATATACAACTTGTCCCTTAAAATGGCCACAATGCCAGAGGATTGGAGGATAACATATGTCACGCCAGTCTTTAAAAAGGGAAGGAGGTGGGACCCGGGAAACAACAGGCCAGTTACCCTAATATCTGTTCCAGGAAAGATGAAAAGCTTCATCCAGATGAAGATCTTAAAACATGTAGAACAAGCCTTGCTGAGGGTAAATCAGCATGACTTCTGTAAGGGCAGGTCTTGCTTCACAAACCTTTTAGAATTCTTTGAAAAGGTCAACAGACTTGTGGATGAGGGCAAACCAGTGGATACTGTCTACCTGGATTTTCAGATGGTGTTTGACATGGTCCCGCACCAAAGGCGGCTGAGAAAATTCCCCAGTCCGCGGATAGAAGGGCAGGTCCTCTTATGAATTGAGAATTGGTTGAGAACCAGACAACAGAGAGTAAGTGTCAATGGGCAGTTTTCACAACTGAGAGAGGTGAAAAGCAGTGTACCCCAGCAATCTGTCCTGGGACCGGTGCTTTTCAGTCTGTTCATAAATGACCTGGAGACAGGGATAAACAGTGATATGACCAAGTTTGCAGATGACAGGGAACTTTTCTGGGTGGTGAAGACTAGAAGGGATTGTGAAGAGCTCCAGAAGAATCTCTCCAATCTGGGACGATGGACGGCAAAATGGCAAATGCATTTCAATATAAGAAAATGTAAAGTAAAGTAATGCACACTGGGGCAAAAAATCAAAACTTTATTTATCAGCTAATGGGTTCTGAGCTGTCTGTGGTGGATCAGGAAAGAGATCTTGGTGTGCTGGTGAACAGCTCAATGAAAGTGTCAACCCAGTATGCGGCAGCAGGGAAGAAGGCCAGATCCATGCTAGGTATCATTAAAAAGGGGATTGAAAATGAAACAGTCAATATTATAATGATTATAATGATATTGTACAAAACACTGGTAAGGCCAGACCTGGAGTATTGTATACAGTTCTGGTCGCCGCACCTCAAAAAAGACAGTGGAACTGAAAAAGGTGCAGAAGAGAGCAACTAAAATCATCACTGGGCTGGGGCACCTCCCTTATGAGGAAAGGCTATAGCGTTTGGGGCTCTTTAGTCTGGAGAAAAGGGGCCTGAGGGGGGACATGATTGAGACATATAAAATGATGCAGGGGATGGATAAAGTGGATAGAGGGATGTTCTTCTCATGCAAGGAACTGTGAAAAGGTTTTGTACTAGAACTAGGGGACATCCACTCGAATTGAGCGTTGAAAGAATGAGAACAGACAAAAGAAAATATTTCTTTACCTAGCATGGTGTTCATCTGTGGAACTGCTTGGCACCGGATGTGGTGATGGCATCTGGCCTAGATGCCTTTAAAAAGGGGATTGGACAGATTCCTGGAAGTCCATTGCAGGTTACAAGCCATG